TTTTTAATAACAATTTGTTATTTTTAATAAAAAATGTCTTCTCTTAGGATTGTAATTGAATAATTAATTCCAGATTAGAATGAATTATTCAATTGTAATTGAAGTCGAAATGATAGGAATAATACGAATGATGTTGATAATAATATAATGAATAATAATAATAAATAATTTATTTAAAAATAGTAGCTCTTGAGGGGTCGGATTTTTTTACAGTTTTTTTTTGGGGGGTTTTAGGGATTTTCGAGCGATTCTTTGGCGCTAAATATTTTGTTAGGACGCAATCTTGTGTAAAAAATATTTTGTTTTAATGTTTGAATGGATATAGGTCGCTCGATCAAGCGAGGCGCCATCAGAGGACCACAACAATACACAATAAGGTCGGGTAATTTCCTGTTGGTGTAAAATTGACGAGTCTTACTCGTGGTGAACACACGGTACCCCTTTGTCATTTTACAACAGTTTATTCTTTTTTTTTTCTATTATCTATTCACCTTCGGTTGCGGATGAATAAAATTTTTTCATTTTTTTTCAGAAATAGTCATTTCGTTTGTATACTCGAAGACACATGACGAATCAGTTGAAGATAAAAAAGAGAAATGAGGACTGAATATCCGGATATTTTGAATTTACTTTTGAAAATTTTTTTTATTATTCCGTACGTAAAAAATAATCGGAATGTACCCAATAATTTTCTCCAGTTCACAGCGATAAATTTATTCTGTACAATTTGCTCTGACGTAGAAAAATCCCACGAGCTCGTAAAATTTCGATTTTTCCAACAAAAAAATAATAACAATTGCGTACAATTTCGTCGCAACAAGTAGTAATTCCTGCTGTACTAATACCATAATCGTAAATCGTAAACGTGAAAAATTGGGTTTGAATTCCGTGAGAAAAATGGCGGAATTAAAAAGGGGGACTTTTTTTTTAATGACTGGAAGAGCAAATAGAACGCGTAAACGTCATCCGTTATAGTATTCCGTCTCGGGGAAAAAGCAATTACATTATTAGGGTGATTATGCAGTTCAGTAATTACAGCGACGGAACGGTGAACTCTTCACCCCCTGTCTCCCCCCCTTTCTCCCCCTCTCACCGTTTTCTCTCTCATCGTAATGGGCATTTGAAAATTTTCGTTAAAGAGAGTTCTTAAGACTCGAAGGTACTCTTTAATACCCAACAAGTATCATACATCGCGCAAGTACCCGCCCCCGTCGCACTTACTCTCTTAACACCCACGCACTCTCGTACTTGTGTATTATTTACATGTACATGTTATATGTATGTATATATAATAGGTATGGGCGCGCTGTGTTTCACGCTCCGCGATGCACATCATATCTGCTTCCTGAGTATCGTTTTTGTTTCTCTCAGTATCGCTTCACCAATTTTTCACTCACAAATTATAAATATCAAAATTCGTAATGACACTTTGGTCATACCTAAATAATTATTCAGTCCTAGCTACCGTGAATTTGTTAAAAATATTAGGGTTTGGGGTAAGGGATGGATATAAAGTGAAATTAAATTGAAAGATGAGATAAATCGTTGATGAGATAAATTAATAATTCAATGATTAATCACTGATGATTAAGCTCAATGAAAATAATCACCGTGTAAACCCGATCGTGTACTAATTGGTTTGTTTGAAAATCAATTAGACTTGAGGACAATAAAGACGGTTAATCCATGGCCTTGCGTTGAACAAAGAGGATACATCCGACGTTTGAATATTGTTAACAATTTAGTTGTACTCCTTGAGTAATTTACACCGAGGGGGTTGGGCTAGACCATTGAAAATGAGTGTTGCAATTTGAGACAGTGAGTGCATCAGATTCACACAATTAGCCATCGAAAATGGTAATGCTGTATAGAAAAATAGTGGTCACAGAGGGGCGTAAGTGACAGGCACTGGTTTGACGTTAAAAAAAAAACTGAGAAGTAATTCTAGCCATAAATCGGTATGTGTATGTAAGCAAATCCATTATGGCAGTAACTCCATGAACAATAACTCTTCTCCACTCTCGGGGGCCCATTTAATGAGTCTCCGTATACTCTTTTTCTCCGTCTATCGTATTTACCAGTGGAGGAAGCGGAAGTGGACTGATGGGTAGATAGGTCGAGCATTTTGTAACTAATTTTATGAGTAAATTGTCCGTAACATTGGTTTGGTGGACTATATCTCAACCTATTCAGTGACGGATAGCAAGAGTTAAATATCCTTATCCTCATGGCCATTTAGTGATGTGCCAATCCGTAAACATGAAATCACGATTCAAATAAAAGGGGAGTGAGTAATTTTCAAGTTTATTCACTTTTTTAATTATTCATTTAAAAAATTGAGTCATACGATTTTAATGTCAACACTCTCTCACCCTCTCCTTCATAAAAACGTCAATTTTTTTATTAATTAATAATTGCATTTTTATTTGTAATAAATGGAAGATCAACTCTGATTAAAATTTCAATTAATTGTTGATTAATAGGATTTTTAATTGGATTTAATTGGATAATTGAAGTCGACAAATCGAGATTTTTTAGTGGAAAATGGATTTTTAATTGATTAAGATTAAAATTTAAAGGCAGGACTAATTGTAATTAGTTTAAACTCTCGAGTGCTCATCGCAGGGATAATTAAAACAAAGTCCTTTGGAAAATCATCAACTCCGATTACTGCACGTGCTCATTGTGCATTTGAGGGATATTTGCGTGTACATAGCAAACACAAAGAAAACACGATTGAGTGTAATTGCAGTGCATGAACCTGCGCATGTATGAGCGCATTACGAGTATCAAGAAATTATTCAGAGAGCGTGGGACGAATGAGAGAAAGGAGTATCATTTTGGAGAATTCACTGGAGATTTTCATGAGTGTTATGTAGTGTCGATTATGAGAGTTAAGTGCACATGATTGTACACATACTCATTGAAAGCCTCAAGCACCCACTCTTTTCGCTCACTGACTCATACATTTCAATCACATATTGACAATAATCAATAAAATACAATTATCTTTAACAATCCGTTAATATTATCCCCAGGAAATGCCAAAAATAAGAAAAATTTTCATTTCACTCCTCGCGATTAAAAAATTAAAAATTTTCAATTCAAAATAATAATAAAAAAATTATTGGGACGGTGGAAAAATAAATTGAGGGGATGGATTATCGTTTCTCAGAGATAAAACAATTTTATCCTTCAAACGTATACGAATGCGTGATTTAAAATCATTAGGTAATTCTAGTGACAAATAAAGTGAATTTTATGATCTGTTCACCCTTCACTGCGCATTATTATTGCAAATAGCTGTTATAATAACGCAAAATGGAGAATTGGATTTTCGATAATTTGGATTATTAATAGAACCGGTGGGAATGTCGTGGATCAATTCTAATTAATTAGCGGTGATCCTGAATTTCTTTTCTCTTTGCTCTCTGATGTCATTGTAATTCAATGCTCTCCCCCACATTTACTCGAATCATAAGAAAATCGATAAGTCAATTTCATTGATGAGTTATTTTTACTGCCCCCTTTATCAAATCCTCCATTATTTATTCCTATTTTTTACTATCCCAATTATCCAACACATGAATTCAATTTTTTTATTATCTATATTAATGAAAAAAAAATTATTCCAATTAATTAATTTGATTTACAATGAAAAAAATATTGGAAAAATGATTTTAAAGTGGAAAATTTCCATAAATTACCTGAATGTTTGTATTGAAAAAATACAGATAAATTTCCGTGTCAATTAAATTAATCGTAATTTAATGATAATAACAAATGTAAATACGGGATTGTTGGATAATTGAAATGAGAGAAAAATGTAAAAGTCAGAGAATAGTACTTCACATATATTCCATTGCCGGTAATATGCGACGCGTGTCAGCAGACAGACGGCGTGTATCAAAGGATATTTGCCCTGTAAACATCATAGCTTTTGACGCTGGGTAAAATGTCGGTGTTTCTAAACTCACACAGTTACAAAATAACCGAGAGAGATAAAAGATGGACTGTAAAATGCACCAGAAGAAGGGATACGAGCACTAGGTAGCCTATGGCCTAATCATGATAATAGTAACATGTGCTATTACTTTTCCTTATTATTTTATGATCCCACGTTTATAAAGTCAACACATTATCTATATCACTCACGAATCACTCATGTTTTTCGCTCACTTTCGATAAAATGTTTATCAATTATAAAAAATTGATGATTATTCGTCATCCATCAGCGATTTTTCCAATTTTTTCCAAACATTTTCCTCAAAATTAAAATGACCGGTAGTGAAAATTATTCTTTAATTAATCTTCTCCTCATTTTATTTATACTTAATTTTATTTCTATCGGTGAAAAAAAATGTAATTACTCCTCCAGTTAATTACGGAATAAAACGAGAAGTTGTAATCGACAAGAAACAAGCAATTCCGTTTGAACAAGGGAGTAATTAAAATGGCTAGGTGAACTCCTCGAAAAATAGCTCAGCAATAGTAGAAAAAATAAATTACTTATTAACTGTGCAGTTGTGTGAGAGAAAGGGGTGAAATATTTGACACAAGTACCGTAATAGCATAAGACTGACCCAAATAACCCTCCTATGTACTAGGATGATAAACTACCTGTATACGCACATATAACCGACACGTACACATCACATTTTACTTATTTCCTTAGTTATCCGTTTATTTTTTCTTTTCCATTCTCAACATTATACTTTTTGCCACGTTTTTGCTCATCGGACGTTCCGCATTCCATCCGGGGAGTGCTTTCATGCCTGTCTTCATGCAGCCACTAATATATATATACGAACAACCACATAAATATGTATATATATATTATTTATATACGTTGATAGAAAAAACGGGAAATTTAATTATCAAATGCTTGGGTAATGCGATGATTTTTTTTTTGATGGTGCATCGAAAATTCTTTGATTTTTGGGAATTTTCATCTCTTCAGGTTCGCGGATTACCGATTTTTAATATGAATAATAACAAACCTGCATCTGCAGCCATGAATAATCGATGTAGGCAGTGGTGGTTGTGGTAATTCCAGGATTACCACTGGTAGAATTCGACTGCCATGCATCCTGTCCAGGATTAACCAGTCCAAGACCGTCGGGTTGTCCCCGATCAGGTACTATTTGATCGGCATACTGATACGTACTCTGTACACTTGTCTGTACGGGTGACGTTATGCCACCCGAATGATGATTGTGATGGCTATTGTGATGATGCTGATGATGATGATGATGATGATGATGTCCAGTTGTTGAATGCTGGACCCCCGAGCCGGCGGTGGGCTGCAAGCAGCAGATGCTGACGTCCATCCGGGGGGGAGGCGAGTCGTAAAATCCCCGGTGTTCTGGATCTGGTGAATCCCAGATTGTCCTGACGTACGATGACTCAAGTGGAACCATTCAATCTTCCACCCACTTAAAATTAATACTTATATCTTCCCGCCAAAATAATAACACAATAAATGATCCCCAGAGATGATCAATCACTCAACATTTCATACCGATCACGATTACAACACCTCAATCTCAAAAACCTCAATGTTTTTCATCAAAAAATCCAGATACAACTGAATAACTGACACACATGACATGTCCGAGCACCAACAATTTATCCAGTAATTTATCCAGTAAATTATCCAATAATTACCGATAATTGATGAATCCGCGGTATCATGGATCAATCGATTAATCACTGGTTGTTATTTATTTCGTTTTTGATTCTTGAAAAATCTGGTAATCACTGAAATCGTTTCATCGAGTATTGTTGTCACACAATCGATCTCGATGATCGATAGCGCATGCGTGGTGGCTCAAACCTGTGGAGGAGCGCGTGTGTGTTGTCAAGGCAACGATTCAGCGGTAACTGGACAACTCAGTCTCAACGTAGTACCTCGGGTACCCCCTCACACACTTTTTTTTTACCTGATACCTCTCCTACAGTCTAACAACGTGTGCTCCTCTCTCTCTAACCCCCTCCAACCTCACTTGAATTTTACCACAGACGTGAGGTATAAAAGGGGGAACTCCCTACAGTATAGTCCGGGCTCACGCCCCGGGCGCGACCGATTCCCGCGCACATTCAAACATCATCCGCACATACACATTAAAACAACGATCTTTGTCTTCATATTTGCCCCCCACTCTGTAAAAACAAGCGGATTATTCTCTCTCTTGGTCTCAGTCGTGTAGCTTCTCACTTTTTTTTTTTTCTCTGGAAGGCCTTTTTTTTTTCATCGTTTTATGGAACCCCCTGCGTCTCGAGGTGAAACGAGTGGGAGACACCGACGATAGCCAACACTCCGCCAACGCTCACCTGACGTCATCCCAATGTACATTTTATGAGGGATTTCGTTCATTTATTTAATCCAAATTTCTGCTATTTTTATTCATTAAATTCCCAATAAAATTGAACAATTAAAAATATTAATTTCAACTTCTTGGGGGGAATTAAATAAATTGTAAACAATTGGTATTGCAATTGTTGTTGACGATGGATGAAGTAATTAAATTAGATGTCATGTTATTGCGATTGGTAATTGAATGAAATAGTAATTAGAGAGGGGTGGAATATTAATTAATGAAAAATAGTCGCAATCTTGATGGGGAATCGATAAATAATAATGATATTAGGCAAAAGCATCCCTGTATAGCATCTCTGGTGGAAAAAATATTCCCTTTCTCTTTGGGATTGTGAAATCCCATCCACTGCCGGCGGTACATGAAACCAAAGCGGGAGAGAGCACCCATCGTTGAATTTATTATCTGTAATAGGTTACGCAGATTACAAACAAAAGTGCAAATAGTTCACATGACCTTCACCCAATGATACCAGAGGGGAAATGATCCTCACGGTATTTTCTATTTAATCTCAACCACTGAGAAAAAATTGTCGAGTGAGAATAAATAAATTTTGTAACGAGCGTTCGTTAAACAAACCAGGAGAAACATTTGGGTGCCGCATGTCGAGAGTTGGAATATACATTATCAGGATTTAATATCTATGAGTCTGAAACTCACCTCACGATTTGAGGATGTGAGAAAATATCTTATAAATGTTCTCGGAATATTTGAGAATTTTCTTTTTCACGTGTCAAAAAATAGGAAATTCTTTCAACTTTTTAGCTTTTAACTCCAGAAAATTTCCCTCAATTAAACAATTCGCAAGACCTCTAATTATTCTACTCTGTACTTAAGATTTTATTGCGCCCAAAAATTTACGACGTGTGTTACAATTTCCCGTGGAATTCCATTCGCAATTCCATTTGTAAAATCGAAAACTGAAATTTCATTTATTCGCCAAGAGTAAAAAAGGCTTGTCCCACCTCCGCAAAACCAGCATGCACATGCAATACCCATAATTCACATTAAATCTAAAACAACAATTGCCTTCCGTTGCAATAACTTTCGAACTTTGCCAGCGGTTTGAAAAATGCTGTAAAAATCGAAGAGAAAAATAACATTTTCTCTCAATAAATCTACATTACTCCAGAGGTTGACGTGACGAAGAGCGATTCGCCTCAACCCCCGCCATCACTGTTTATTTTCTCCCCCTCCACTTTTTTTTTCTGCAAAAGGGGGTGGAACGTTTCCCCCACCCCAGTAGGAAATATAACTGGAGAAATAGGGGGAAAAGGTAACGTCTGACCTTTTTTTTTTCACCGCCAAACAGTAGCTCATGCTCTTTTTATCCCTCTTCTGATTGTTCCAACGTTAGTACCATCCCTCTCCCACTTGGACATCTCGGTTCCCGGAAGCAACGCAACTTATGAATGGAACTTGAAGACCATTGGCTGGTGCTATCGACCAATAAACGCACAGCCTGTCCCACGGCGCGCGCATTAGTCGAGAGTGAGACAAACAATTACGGAATCAGCTGTCACCCAGGGGGGAAAAAATGGATAATTAATTCGCGAATTGAAATTGTAAACTTGAATTAAACATTTAAATTACAATCTGAAAGGTCGGGAATTCATTCGTTATTTTAAAAATCATTTCTGCGGGATTTATTTACGGCCGTAATGCGAAGTGAGAATTTTTTTATTTCGCGGATAATTTAATTATTTATTATTCATTTGTTTATGCAACTTTCATTTTTTTATTAATGATAAATATCCGAGAAACGAAAAATTACTGCGATATTCATTTAAACTATGAAACCAATGATTAAAAATAATATTTTCACATTTTCAATTATTGAATAATTGAATGATTGATTAAAATATCGATCCCTTCATTAAAAATAAAAATTTCCAAACCCCATATGATTGAAAAATAATAATGTCTCATGAATACCGAAAGTTGGCGTTCCAAAAACATTAAAATTCCATCGATTCCACGAAAACAATCACTCGAATTAAGTAATTATCATGTGAAATACGTCGATGGATGGATCAGAAATGTTTATGCATGCATTTGAGGCATCAAATGACGCCTGACATTTTGTCATGTAGCAATAAACCGAGACGAGGATAAAAATCAAATGGCGAGAAATGCTACAATGAATGGCTTTCAATATAACCATCATTGTGCGACCTCATTACCTTGACGTGCCACACCAGAAAAATTTTTCGCAGAATGATTTTTTATGTTTGTGCCCTGTCATAAAGCCCCATGTAGCCGCACTTATATACAACGCATCATCCTCTCCCTGTATTTAACATAAGTTAAGCGACAATTGTAGGTACAGTACATCTTTTTTTTTTTCACCTCGGCACTGTGTGAAGTTTAGAGTTGTGTATTATAACACATTCCCCTGTAATCATGTCACCGTCATTTTTTATTCTCAATTCATCCTCGGCCATTGCATTCTGATTTACATTGCACAATATTTGCACTCAATATGGAACAATTTGTACCCAGTAATCGTAAATTTTCCACCTGTATAAAAGCCCGAGAATAATTTCCACTGATTATCATTGAATAATCAATAACTCAATAATTACTCACTCCCTCTTAATTGCAAATCGAAAAAAACTCATCAGAAATTAATCGGAGCGTATCTACGCAATAGTCCGACTAATTAATTAATTGATCAATCAATTAAATTACAATCTCGATAATTCTCTGCTTTGTGAATTACTGATAAGAAAAAACGTATTATCAGCTGGAGATAAGACTTTGAGTAATCAGATATCGATAAGGTAGAATTCCAAAATTTTGAATGTTTTTGTTATTTCAAGATCGTTTTTTATTATAATAGAGGTGATTATAATTTTTTTTTAATCGTTGAACGCGTGATTACTGCCAAATTTTTTGAGATTGATTACTGGAATAATCTTGACAAGTAAATCCTGTCACCCCCTAGTGTTGCTGTCAAACAGCAAACAGAACCAATCAGCGTTGCTCAGTACCAAAATGGCATCAGGGCATTCCGCATCGTTTCCAGGGCACAAGTGAGATGAAATTATTCAATAAATAATATCCAAGTGTTGAATCGAATAATTAGATTAACCGGGTCAATAGACACCACTCCTTCGTCTATTGATTACCAATCAATACCCGATAATAATTTGAGTTTAATTCACCCTGAGGGTCAAACCCAGGGATTTATCTTTATTTCACCCCGTGTCGAGTGTCAAATGCTTACGTAACAGAAAATTATTGTCTGATGTGATGGGAGTGAGCGAAAAGTGAAGAGGAAAACTGAGACTTCAGGTAAATCATCATTTCATCAGTCACTGACTTTTTTATTGAATAATTAATTCAAGTGGATGAGTTGTCAATTATTTTTACGCCTGTGGTTATCAATTTTTTAATTATTATTTCAGCTCTCGATTTTTTTTTGTAGTGATTTCAAGTAGAACGACTCAACCACTGACTCCAATCGATCGGCTTTTGTGTCTCGCCTTGACGAGTATGACAGCGGCAGTCATGGAAAATATTTCCTGGGATCCTGGTGAGTTTATTATAACAGATTTTCAGTCAGTCATTAATAATAATTGCAATTGAAGAATTAATATCCCGCTTTTCCTTTTATCTCAATTTTCCTCTCGAATTGAATATTTAAATGAATAATATATTGTCTCACTAATTATTCTGCAATTGTCTTCATTATTCAATGATTATTGATGACAAAAATGCTTCGAGTTATTGATTATCGGTTCTGGTCTGGCTTTCAAGCTCTCTCAAAACTCCTGAACTCTCTCGAAGAGCACAAAACCGATATACCAAGTTGCACCGATGAGGAGTTCGGTTTTCTCAATGATCTATTGAGGTCGAAGGAGCTCAATGCTCTGGTTAATGTACACAACAAAATTCTGGCGAACGTACAGGATGAAAAATTTGCACCTGTACTGTCCAATTCAATGGACATCGACATTGAAGTCTTGGACATGCTAGCATCGAAGACTTATATATCAGAAGAGTGCAAGGAATTATTTCATCTCCTCCAAAGACCCCACATACAGGTAAATTATTTCTATATTTCTACCCCCTCGATTCAATCATCTGCTATTTATGTTTAATCCCTCAAAATAGAATTGAGAGATACATTAATATATTTTCTATTCAATATTTAACGTGATGAATTAATTCTTCAGGGTCTATTGTGCACCCACGATGCAGTCGCCCAGAAAGATTACTATCCTCGACTATCTGAAATTCCTCTGGAGGTGGACGAAGACGAGGAAACAGTGAAAATAGTCCAACTAGTTAAATCAGACGAGCCACTGGTACGTTATATTGATCGTGAATTCGTTACCTGAGGGGTAAACCACTTGTGGTACTTGAAAATAATATTAGATGAATCCGACGTGTGCAATTGTATGATTTAGTGATGGGATATATCGTCCCTCGAGTGTTTCAATTACCTGCATGCCAGATAATTACCAGTCCTCATCCCAAATTCATTATAAGTTATAATGAATTGTCCTGTGAGTCCTGAGAGTTACGAATGACGAGCAAAAGTAACAGCTGATGATTTTCACGTGCTGAGTAATCACGTGTTTTTATTTCTATTTAAAAACTTGCCTCGAATTTAAGAGTGGGGATGGAGTTGAACCAATAGTGGTAAGTTCATTCCTCTTCGCTTTTTTTAATTTCCATAATAAAATTAAGTCCTTCCTCCATTCCTCCATTTCTTTTCGTAATTCGTTTTTTTAACGTAATCCGTTTTATGTCCAAAATGTACATACGAAAATTCAATTATTATTTATATTGTTCGTTTATTATTTGTTGCATGAATTTGTTGTGTTTTGTACCTTGTAAATAAATCTTTTTTTCGTCATCACTGGTTTATTTATGTTTAATTCCGTTATCCTTGAGCATGTGCGATATAATTTTTAGGATAATTGTTCTGTTAGCGATTTTCATTCAGATATTGTCACTTGACAGTGTCTAATGTCAAAGTGTTAATTTACCGTTGAAATAGGGAGCGACTATCAAGTTGTGTGAGGTCACTGGAAAAATCGTTATAGCAAGAGTGATGCACGGTGGTGCTGCTGATAGATCTGGTCTGATTCATGTTGGTGATGAAGTTGTGGAAGTTAACGGAATCAGCGTTGAGGGAAAAACTCCAAATTGTGTTCTTAAAATTCTGGTAAGATTCAATAAACTTTCGACAGATTACTCCAATCATTCACAACTATTCAAACCATTCCTCAATTCTAGCAAAACTCCGAAGGGACTATCACCTTCAAAATTATTCCAGCAGATAGTAAAGGTGGAATGAGAGAAAGTAAGGTACCTAAATTTTATTTTGCATAAATAATCCCAGAAGCGTGAGGTTTCATTGCAATTGCACTTGCAATTTGAGTCTTATAAAAATTCGTATAATTTAGGTTCGTATGAGAGCTCATTTCTCTTACAAAGCTGCAGAGGATCCTCATATTCCCTGCAAAGAGGCAGGTTTAGACTTCAATAAAGGAGATGTGCTTCATATAGTCACCCAAGACGATGCTTACTGGTGGCAAGCTCGTCGTGAGGGTGACAGGAACATGAGAGCTGGTCTCATACCCAGTAGACCTCTCCAGGAGCGACGAATTATTCTAGAAAGACAGCAGAAGGACAAGATTCAAGATGATGATGGTCTAAGTAAGAAATGGTCCCACAAGAAATGCTCCCACTATTTTTTTAAATGCAGTAATGTGGAATAATTGAATTCTTCCCAATAATTCCGAGAGGATCTATGAACCCACAGAGAATTGACATTTTGCTCAATAATCAATATATTTTATTGACTTTTAAATAATTCACGTGTCCTATTGGATGTAATTGATGCGGCGACTTTCATGAGGCGCAATTTATTTTGATAGCATAGATTTATGATTTTGTAATTCGAGATGAATTAATGGCAATAACGACGAGTCGTGTTTCACTGGTCATTGGAGAATAACTTTTTTTTTTTCCCTAAACCGTGGACCGGTTAGGCTTGTGTTCTGTTCCAGTGCCTTTGCCCGCGTTGTGCCCCCGTCCCAGTACCTCTTCTTTGCACGCTTCGCCCACAAAGTGCAACTTGCAGGGAATTAAAACTAAAAAAATCATGTATGACGCTGCAGAGAACGATGACTTCGATCGCGAGGAGATACCAACGTACGAGGAGGTTGCTAAGCTGTATCCAACACCTGGATTGTATCGTCCTATCGTCATGATTGGACCACCAGGAGTCGGTAGGAACGAACTCAAGAGAAGACTCATGGCGATGGATCCTGATAAATACAAAACCCCAGTTCCATGTGAGTGAATATTATTATCACAATAATCGATGTGGAAAATTAATGTGAGAAAAAAAAACTTAATATCAGACACGTCGAGGCCACCCAGACCTGGTGAAGAGGATGGCAAGGAGTACCACTTCTGCACCCGTGGAAAAATGGACGAGGAAATTGAGGCTGGGAAATTCATTGAATATGGAGAGTACAAGGGAAATCTTTACGGTACCAAAGCCGATTCAGTTATTTCTTTAGTCAACACTGGATTCATTGCCATCCTCAATCCTCACTATCAGGCCCTGAAGATGTTGAGATCACCCCAGTTAAAGCCCTACGTAATCTACATAAAACCCCCCAGATTCGAGACACTCAAGGAAACTAGAAATGAGGCCAGAGCTCGGTCTACATTTGATGAGGCCAATTCCAGAGGATTTACTGTGAGATAAAAATTCTCATCTCTTCAGGTTTCTCGATCTGACTTGAATTAATTTTATGTATTAATTCCAGGATGATGAATTCCAAGAGATTCTTCACAGTGCAGCTCGCATCGAATATCTTTACTCTCACCTGTTTGATGAAGTGATTGTAAATGCAGATTTGCCAATAGCATTCGAGCAATTAGTGTCAGCTATTCACAGGGTAGAATCAGAACCCCTGTGGGTGCCCGCCTCCTGGGTCCAGTGAGACTAACGATCCAAGTAAATTAATTACGCAAATTAATTAGAGTAACTTTCTTTTTTTTAGGTTGAAATTACTCTCAGACTCACTTTTCTCTTGTTTTTTTTTCCACAGACAAAAAACTCAATGCATTTTTCATTATTTTCCAATAGTTAGGCAGAAATGCCTCTGCATCTACCTTCACTGCCAGTGGAACTAAAAATAATAATGAAGAAAATAAAAAAACACGTGTTTATCCGGTGGTGATGAGGAAAGTCCCAATTGTTGTTGATTATTGTCGATTATTCATTAAAAGTCATTGGAATATTTTATGGGAGAAATTTTTAATTGAAATAATAATGAACTTAGAAAGCTGTATATTCTACTCGGCTATTTTCCAAAAGATTTTGATCATGACTGAGGATCATTTCAATTGCATCATTGTCAATGAGTAATGACAATTTGATATAATTAATGATGTTGGAATTATCGTCGTTATATTTGATAGATTCACTCATCGGTGTAAAATCTGTCTCTGTGTTAATAAAGATTTATCATAAAATAAATCATCTGTTATTAATTTCCAGCCTCCTCTTTAATCATTAATTTATGCAATAATTAAAATGGATATATAATTACATGGTACCTTGACGTGTCACCCAGAGATCAATCTAGAATGTCAAAATAATTTGGCAAGAGGTGTGAAGAGTTACGCGTCATTATTTTTCCGTCAAGACTCGATCGAATATTTTCTTCAGTCGCACTTCCTTTTTGTGATTGATTGGATCGTAATATCGGGGAATAAACTAAATAATGGAAGATCTGTGTATCGACTTGAAGGATTTCGCGAGTGATCTGTCCTCAATAAGAAAACAATTAATTAAATCGAGTAGAGTGGAGATCGATTGCGATCAGTGCGAGGAGGAAATCCACTTTGACAACTTGCGATCATTACTTCAGAGTCATTACGATGAGATTAATTATATCCAATTAACGAATCTCGGTGGGAAGTTTGAGTTGGAAATTCTGGGGTATTTACCAGTCTCTCTGCAGCAGATTCATTGCTACATGGACTCGGATCTGTCCTCAGATCATCGCCTGGAAGATCAGAAATTTCCAGTAAGTCCATTATCAAGTGATTCATTAACTCGATCATTCAAATAAAATTGATTAATGATTTATTACTTTTATTTATTACCAGAATTTATTCGAGTTCAGGCAACTGCGTGCCCTGACCTTGAGTGGTTTTAATCTAGGTGAAAACAGTTTAAAGGGAATCGAAGAATTGAAAAATCTTTTCTTTTTGGATTTAACTGAATCACGAGTGCCTGTACCAGAGCTCGAGAGACTCAATAAAATAAAGAAATTGAGACATTTGTATCTGTCGTCCTGCGATCTTCAGGATAAATCCCTCATCAATATTTTATCGACTAATAAAAATCTTCAGGCACTAGATATCAATTGTGAGTGAGACGAGAAAATAGAGGATTTCCTTCTCATTTGAATCTTTCGATCGGTTATCAGTCGATTTTTCAATTATTTCAGCAAATCCTGAGATCACAGATCGATCGATGGAACAACTATGTGTTCTTCCTGACGTTCGTATTCTGAATGTAATGAATCTCCCTCTAATTACTGATTACTACATCGAGGAAATGCGGGCCGTCACGGCCTTGAATTGCCAGAACTGCCCTCGGATTTCAGAACCTGGACTGATCAAGCTTCTCGGTCTGTCAGAAAATCTCAGATATCTTGACGTAAGAAAATGCAGAGTCTCAAATGAACTCCTGGAAGCAGCCCTCGAGGTTGTGAAATCCCGACGATCTAAAAAATCCTTAGAAATTTCTGTGGATCGACCACTAAAGGACAATTTCATCAAATTAAAATGTTCCCCATCATTATTAAAAATCACGGATGGAACCGAGATCGAATGAAATATTCTTCAAATAAATAAATACATTTTATTAAACACTCTGGATTTTCTCTGTCATACCTCCCGCTTCATTAATCTTCAAATACAATTTACAATAATTTTCGTCATGGCACACGCTATGATTATCAATAACATAACAATTTTTGTGAACAACTTTCAAATTCGGAAGTCTTGTTGTGGCGATGAAGAAGTGGATGTTCTCATTAAAAATCCGATAAACGTCTTCACTCTCCGGTACAATATGCACCTCGGAGACGTTTTTCCGGCTGACATTGCTCAGAATATTCCTGATCCTCAGGACAACCGTCAGGATCGCCTCGAACTCCTCTTCGAGCTCTTCATTTCTCCAGTGGTGTTCCTCGACGGTGGGATAAGGTGCCTCCATCAAGGAGGGCACCTCCAAGAACCCCGGAAGCTTCCTCCTGAGTCTGTGATAAAGATCTTCACTCAAATACGGCATCACAGGTGCCAGAATCCTGAGAGAAACCTCCAAGCACTTGGCCAAAGTGTATTTATGCCCCTCGACGGTCTCCTCTCGATTCTTCACCCCAAATTTCGTGGCCTCGATATAAAAATCACAGAATTCATAATAAAAGAACTGCCTAATAGCCGCAATGGCCCTATGGAAGTTCCTCTCCCTGAGGTTCTCATTGACCTTCTCAACCATCAGCTCCATTCTGCTCAGGATCCACTGATCGACAGTCGAGAGAACTTTCGGCTCAGCAACTCCATCATCAGTCACCAGGAGAACGTACCTGCAGGCCTGCCAGATTTTATTGCAAAAATGTTTATTAGTCTTACACTCGACGACGTTAAAACTAATTCGGTCACTCTTGATGTCATGAGCGCAGAGAGTGAACCTGAGGGCGTCGACTCCACACTGGGGTATCCCATTGCTGAACATCTTCGAATTAACAGACAACGTTCTCTTAAATTCACTCTTGCTCAATATTCCAGAATTGTGGCTGTCCTGGGCCTTGGCATTTAAACCCTCGAGAGTGATTCCATTGATCACATCCTCTGGATTGATCACATTCCCCAGACTCTTGGACATCTTCTTCCCCTGGGCATCACAGAGTACCCCATGAAGGAGAACATCCTGAAAGGGTAATTCCCCTGTTAATTCCGTGCAGAGCATGGCCATCCTGGCGACCCAGAACATCAAGATGTCGTGACCAGTTTCCATGAGACTGAGAGGATACAATCTCTTGTGATCCACCAGGGGCCAGCCCATGGCGGACAGAGGAAGGAGACCAGCTGAGAACCAGGTGTCAAGGACATCCGTATCCTGGTGGACTTGATAATCACTTCCAAATCGTTTTCTCGATATCTCCTCGGCCTCCCTCAAGGTTCCAGCAACAATCCAGTGGCTTTCTGATAGATTAGAACACCTGAATGCTGGAATCCTGTGGCCCCACCAGAGTTGACGAGATACACACCAGTCCCTCGTGTTCTCCAGCCTCTGGACCCAGAGTTCCTCGAACTTCTGCGGATCTATTCTCAGCTGATTGCTCCTCGTGGCCTCCAGAACCCTGTCCGCCATTTTTCGAGTTCTGACGAACCATTGCTCCTTCACCAGGTGCTCCACTACGTCCCCAGACCTCGAGCACAGGGGAACGATCATTGGGTGATCGTTCAGCCCTCGGAGAAAACCTTTATCCGATAGATAATCTAGGATTTTTTGACGTGCGATAAACCTGGGGAGACCCTCGAAGTCTTTCGCATTTTCATTCATCGTTCCATCTTCATTAATCACTTCTATCAACTCCAGATCGTTTCTCCTACCGATTTCAAGGTCTGTACGATCGTGTGCTGGTGTTATCTTCAAGACTCCAGTGCCAAGGTCACGTCTCACTGAAATATCAGCAACCACTGGGATATAGACTTCCCTCAGTGGATGGAAAACTTCTTTTCCAATGAATTGTGAGTACCTGGGGTCCTCAGGGTGGACAGCCAGGGCTACATCTCCCAGCATGGACTCCACTCGTGTCGTGGCAACAACGAGCTCTTCAGGAGAGTCTCTCACTGCAAAAGCAACCTCAGCCATTTGCCCGAAGGAAATCCTCTTGCTGTACCCTGGGAGGAAAATCTCAGTCCTCTTGGAAATCTCGAGAAACTCCACCTCAATGTCTGAGATTGTACTCTGGAGGGCTGGTGACCAATTCACCAGGTCCTTCTTCCTGTACAAGAGATCTCGATTGCTCAGAGTGATGAAGGCCTCGATGACAGCTGCATTGTGCTCTTTGCTCATTGTGAAAAATTCTCGTGACCAGTCCACACTAGCTCCCAGACTCTTCAATTGGCTCAGGATGGCACGCCCTTTGGTGTTCCTCCAGTCCTCAACAGCTGCCAGGAACTCATCCCTTCCTAGATCTTTTTTAGCGATTCCTTTTGTCGCGGAGAGATATTTTTCTACAGCTGCCTGGGTGGCTATTCCAGCGTGGTCCAGCCCTGGAACCCAGAGAACAGACTCTCCTCTCATTCTCTGCCATCTTGCCAGGACATCCTGAATTGTTACCGTCAGGGCGTGCCCCAGGTGGAGGACTCCTGTGACATTTGGCGGGGGGAGGATCATCCTGAAAGAGACTGAGGCATTCCTGGGGGAAAAATAATTGTTATTCTCCCAGATTTTATTCCAATGCGCCTCCACACCTTCTGTTTCGTAGGTCTTCGGGAAATCTGTGGGAAATTATATTACCCCATTATTTTTAATTATTTCTTTTATTTCAATTGTTTATTGTAAATTCATTTGCTCACCGGCTACACGTGCCTCGTTCAATTGATAACAATAATTTCTACAGATTATTACACTTCGTCTGAGTTCGTTCAATCTATTTACATTCATTTCTACTTTTTATGTGATAATTTGTCGATAGATAATTAATTAATCTAGTGAAAAGCCTTTAACATTTAAAAATCATGAGTTACTCTCGTGGGTGTTTATGCACGTGTGTGTGGTGGCATCAGCTGATCTGAAATCCAGAGGTTATGGAGCCGACAGTGAAACGTCAACGTGTTGAGCAAAGAGGATGGACTAAAGTAGAGGCCTAGTTCTGGGGGTTGGAGTGACAGTAACAGTCCCAATATAAAGTGAAATAATGGAGCGGTGTCAATATTTTGTGGAGAGAAAAAAGAGATACTGCAAGATGACAGTGAAAAAAGGGAATAAATTCTGTGGAGAGCACATGGAAGTCTCCAGAGAAATCCCTAAGGAAAAAAAAAGAGTCACCTGTCCCCTAGACAATTCTCAGTGAGTTCTACTCTTCTGGGGTAATTAGGGTGCGCTAATTACCTTGGGTTTATTAATTTTATAGATATTTTGCAGTACCTGTTATGAGTCCAGGCTCGAGAAACATTTGAAGGTCTGCAATGCCAAGAAAATTATTGACGCTAAACCAGAGTTTATTGTTGATGGAATAAATAGAGGAAATGTTCAGGAAAATCCGGAACGTGTCACTTTGAATTTACTAGAGGATGATGTTGTTGAGGGGATTATCAGGAGAGTGGAGGCTGCATACGGTATGTTTTTAATTATTATTAATTAATTATTTAAAATATTTGATTTATAATTAATCAGGATTGCGATGATTATAGAAGATTTACCAGAAGTTCAGGAGCTGATGCTTCAGCATGATGTCCTCGATGCTGAAGTGAATAATCCGAGTTATGGAAAAAATACAAGGAAGCACTTGATTCAGAATTCTTCCATCCTGGGACACATTGCTCGAGCAGGATTGGCTCGAGAGGACACATGTTTCATTGAATTCGGTGCAGGCAAAGGTACAGACCATTTCTCTACATTGTTTATCATTTTAATTGATAATTTTTCCAGGAAAACTGACGTATTGGCTGGCACAGATGCTGAAAGACGTGGACAACAGCACAATTGTCCTAGTGGATCGTTCCAGTCACCGGAATAAAAACGATAATAAATTGAGAAATGAAGAGACAACAGTGAAGACTATTCGCATTCGTGCAGATATCGGTGATCTTGTCTTGAGTAAAATCTCAGAGATCAAGGGTATCAAGCACAAGGTTGGAATTGCCAAACATTTGTGTGGAGCTGCAACTGGTAATTTATTGAGAATAAATCATGGTTGATCAGTTTTTCAAGGTGAACTTTCACTTTCAGACTTGACGATACGATGTTTATCTCAATTAGCAAGAGATGATGTGAATTCAGAAGTATCTGGACTGATAATAGCCTTCTGCTGTCACCACAGATGCGACTACTCCTCGTACGTCGGTAAAAATTACCTGAAAACCTGTGGATTCACTCCAGAAGAGTTCCCCATTTTATGCAGTATCGCAAGTTGGGCGACTTGTGGTACCGGAAAGAGCAGAGAGGTTCTGAATGATCCCACGTGAGTTGAATAATTAAAGTTCTCCATGAAAATGGAAAAGAAAAATATTGAAAATTGCAGGCTCATCGTAAAATGGGAGAAGAGAGAGTCGGCAGGAAGAAAAGTCAAAGGATTACTGAACTGGGGGAGGATAGAGCACCTGAGAACTCTAGGATTCGACAGTCACCTCTACTATTACATCACCCCAGAGATATCCCTGGAGAATATGTGCGTTATCGCAACCCGAGGAAAAAATCTGGAACCCAATATTTGATTAAATAAAACAAAACTGATATCTCCTCCGATTATTCCCTCGAGCGGTTTCAATAAAATTTTGAAATTTTGATTTTTTACCGAGGAAATTAATTCTTGGAATTCCCAGGTAATCAACTTGACGTGCATCGAAGGCGTCACATTATCAGCAGCTATTTTTTTTATTCTGTGAATGCCTTCATTCCCCCACTGCAAACGCATACACACACACTCGGATCATCTTTCCTGACATGCACATGCATCCAGTGACTATATACTGTATATACCAAAGCAAATAGCCTTCAGCCTTCAGTGCAAGTGTTGACGATTCACGCGACAGTCGATCGCAAGAGAACGATTCCATCCAAGTAAACAAGAGAACTTGCATTTGTTATTACTGTTGATTATTTAAAAAAAAGGTAAGTTGCATCCACATTCCTTAAAAGCCCTCAAAAGAAAAACGATCTAATATCGCGTGTTTGGGAAAATAGGAAAAGTGCGTTCTATCGATAATTTCGAGAAAAGACACGGATTCTCTCTAGACTCAAGAGAAATGCCTCTCGTAATGGCGTGATGACTTCCTCATTGACATTGCACAACACCTCATTATCAATCGATAAAAAAAAATCAAATGTACGCAGAAAATCGAGGAAAATTGTGCTCTTTCCTGTATATTTAAAATAGAATGCGCATACAGATGAACAAATGGAGGAAATTTTGAGATAAGAGTTGAGAACCATCGGTATGACCTTGAGTGTTAGTGTATAATTCATAGGAATTTTGAGGTGTTTGGCAGAATGTCAAGGTGTTCATTCCGAGGTTGTTCAATATTTTTTTTTTTTTGACAGTTGTTTCCTCATCTGGAGTTTACAACACGTGGCGTGGGGCATCGAATGTCAGGGCGTTACCCAAAATCTTATCTCTCTCATTCGTATGCACGTAAATCAGAGTGTGAGGGAGAAACACCGGTGGTCTCTCCCCTCTGGTTGTAATTATCGATTCTTTTAGTCTCAGCTACAACGGGAAAAATAAAGTGCATGCAGTCGGTTGCAGATGGTTTAAAAAATTACTGGGTAATTCACGCGTATCAATTTAATCACTTGAGATTATTCGTTACGTGAGGATATGTGCTATCTTCTGACGCGACGCCACTCGATTTTTCTTCAACCATTTGTGAAAATGATTGTTTAGTTTTCCGGTTCGAGTACCGAATGCTGATAATGATAAACTGCGTCGCAATGGCTGGGGAATTTATTACGATGGGCTGTCGGGGTTTTTTTTTTTCCTCGGGTTCTCTCGATCTCTTCTAACAACTCTCGTGAATATCATTATCTTTTGCCAAATGAAAAGTACTGGGTTATGCAATGAGTGGCAAAATTACGAGTTGGCGCCAGAGCCCAAGGCGAAATTATTATTCACGGGCTGAATAACAACATTTTAAATTTTTAGATGAATTTTCAAGGGAAATATCAACTGCATGAGATGATTCCCTGCGAAATCACTGGTTTTCATTGCCCTTTTTATTTATTTATATTATTTTTATTATAATTGATAAGTGATAAGTTAATGAAAATTGTTGTAAATCATTCGTTACAACCAGATATTTATTTTTCGTACATGCGAGTAACTGCGGATAATTTCCCTATCGCTGTTTAACAGAAGAACAAAAAGAATATGCAACTCTGGAATTTTTGTCACGGTATAATGTAGCATTTCCTCTCACAGAATGACGCACTCATTAACAATTCAGCTAGGTATAACTCGTCTCCGCGCGTCATGTGTCCATTCAGTTAATCCGTTGTTATCAGAGAGTTGGAACTGAAAGATAACGTGACAATCAGCTTTGACTCATACTGTTTACAGAATTATCTTGTGTGCAACGAGTATTTCAATATAAAAATTAATCGATGATTGGTTATTTCGATGTGATCAGTCGTAGAGTAATTAGATAAATTGTTGCATGGTTTTTTTTTTGCTTTGTCCTTTTGCAGGAATTGCCAAGTAACTAATTACCATGGAAAACAAGCAAGCACCACCACCAGGATTTGTTCCACCTCCACCATACACTGCTGGACCACCTCATGCTGCTCCACCAGGACCAGGTGCTTCTGGATAACTAACACTTATCACTCATTATGGATTTTCATAACAGTTATCATATCGTTTTTAATTGAGGAAGATTGAGGCACAATTGACGCTTTTGACATTTCAATTGTATCTATCAGTGGAATTAATCGAGAGTTCAATCTGTTTTTCTGATGAATCCATTATTTATTTTCTTAGAAATGATTTTTAGAAATGGTTGTTTGAACTTTAGAGGATTAAGTGGCCATTTTTGCCTGACAATCCTTATCAATTTAACTGCAACTTCATCGGTATTGGGTCCTATGATTTGTTGACATTAATTATTCATCATTCGTGAATTATTCATTGATTATAAATTTTACAGCTGTCTTCATGGTTCAGCACGTCGCGTTAGGACCGGAATCCCAGAGGATGTCGTGTCCTCATTGTCATGCTGACATTTCGACGAGAGTCGAGACACAGTCGAATACTAAAACTCATCTTTTTGCCCTTCTTCTTTGTTTGATTGGGTGAGTATTGAACCAAAAGCGTGCAGAAAGGATTAATTAAAATTAATTAACCGCTGTAATTGTCGTAAAAAATTCTCCTCGGCTTTCTGTCCTCTCAATGATTCAATTCCATGGATGTCTGCGAACCTCGACAATGTTATCTTTTCAGCGAATGCTTGCTTGCAGTGAGTCAGTCGAAAAAAAAAAGTTTATCTCGTTTATTTTATTTTTTGCGGAGAGTCGCCGAGTCTTCGACTGATCATTGCGAATAGACGTGACATCATCTCGATTGAAGCCCAAATTCTCTTTCAAATTCACAGCTCCAGAATTATTCGCTACTGATTTCTGTTGACGTAAATATCACTTAGTGTTTGTTGCAATTGACGTTAGGATGACGTAATCACCGTCAAATTCTCCGTTCCCCGCGGCTGATTAAATAACTCCAGACTAAACTCGAGTTTTCCATAAATTCCCTCAACACTGTGTAGTTTTATTGGAATTAATTGCATTAATCAGGGATGAGTACTCATTGAATTAATTAAAATTAATCATAATCCTGTCTGAATGTCTGTTTGGAAAAAATCGGGACATTTGTTGTATTTGTTTGTATTTTCTTTCCATGAAATTTCGTTTGTCTTTCGTTTTGTCTTCAAAGCGTAATGAATGATTTTTTTTTCTCCAGATGCTGGCCATGTGCTCCATGCCCCTATTGCATGGACTCTTGCTTGGCAAAGAAGCATTATTGCCCAGCCTGCAATGCCTACATTGGCCAACACGAGAACTAATAAAAAAAACACTCCAAAAAACAATTAAAAAACCCAACGCCAGAGGAATGGTACAGAATATACAAAAGTATAATTCAGTTTATGTACGAAATGTATCACTTCCGTACTTTATATGCTCGTCACAGCGTTATTTCAAAATGTTATAATTTTTATAATTTACTATATATTTGCCACAACCATGGAATTAAAAAAACCATCACAACGCTTAAATATCAGAGGGATTATTATCCCCGGTATCTAGATGTGATTATTTATAATTGATTGAAAAAAAAGTGTTCCTTAAGTAACGAAACAACTACAAATATTTGTGATTCAAAAATGTACACTTTAATCATCGATATGTGAGGAAAAAAATGGGGACTTACTCCGATATTAACGATTACTCCAATTTGTGGAGATGATAAATTGTTTCTCGCATTTTTTGAAAATTTATTTTTTATGAAAAATTATATGTCCAGTTCCAGCAAAAATTCATCGGAAAATAACGTACTGTATTGATTGATCAGAGAAATGCTGATAATTATCACGCAGGATGAGGAATCATAAATAATGATTTAATGAGTGGATATTATTCAGGGCTATCCGTGCATTACGCTTTCGTCTCGTATAACTGATGATTACCGCTAATTTTATTGTCAATTTCATGTTTTCCTCTTGAATCTTCAAGATGTCTGTATTGATAATCCTGGAGGTATTTTACAGTTGTAAAACTTTTGCTGAGATCTAATAAAAATTATTTTCTAGATAATCCGCTGTTTTTCATTTATCACGAGTATTTTTTTTTTAATTTCCGATTGAATTTCATGCGCCCCTGCATTAAAATATCACCTCTTCGTGATTATATATCTGAATGACAGATGAATTGAAGACTTATCTCCTTTTTTGGTTTATAATTTCGTCCTTTTTGGTAATCACCGCTAAATTAATTTTTTTTAATTAAAAAGTGGTGTTGTCGGTTGATAAGCCGGTTGATAAGCTGGTGCTTCCAGGAACGAATAAAAAACCACACGATTTAAATAAAACCACTTCCCCTCAGATCGATGAAAATTTCCTGGAGCTTAAACTAAAATGATTTATTTATAGTGAAAACTTTTATTGAGTCTTTTACAATCATCGAAACGTAATCTTCCATCGATTTTTGGTTCAGCGAGTGATTGCTACAGGAAAATCATACATAATTAATGTGTATGGAAGGGATAATAATTTGTTGAATAGAATTAACAAAATTATCCCCAAGATATCAGTACTCGACAATAAAACATTGAGTTGAAGGTACGTTGAATCACATTCGCGATAGTTTAGTCTTTCGTATACACATGTGAAATTTATAGAACAATTTAAATATCGATTATTTACCGATCATATTGGCAATAAATAAATAAGACAAACCCCAGAGTTTATCATTCGCTCTCATCTCTTTATCATTAGCTTTATTAGCCCGTGATAAATATAATAGTGCATAACAGTAGACAGTGTGCAAAGAGATTTCATGTCGATTTTTTCATTGTTCTTTAGAGAATACAACTGAATCTTCAATTTTACTGTTTATAACATTGAAATATTTAATATCATTACATACTCACGGCTTCATTCCATTAAATGACCCAACGCATGGCTTATTTGTACTTATGTGTCAAGTAATTCCAACTAATACGTGTTTAATTCGTTATTATATATAAATAAACGCAAGTGAATGACAGTTATCGTAATTTTTCAAAATACATAGGCGGCTCTCGTAACTCTTTCATTTGTGAATGAATCGTAATCGTATGCTTTAATATGTCAATTTTCAATAGCAAATATATTATCACATTGAGATTGTATTAATCTTTAAAACATTTTCTAGATTCCTCAGCGATATATTTATCTCAATAAAATCCAATTGGACTGAATTACCGAGAGGAATTACCAGTCATTATATCAATATCGAGTGTACCGCGATAATTCATGACTACTCGGAGAAATTGGCACCATTTGGCATTCGCTAAATAATCTGTTCTTTCTTTCTCAATCGCGACACTCATTTATCTGTGATCACTCGTATGTCTAAGAAACAATTAATATAGAATATATATATTTATATATGTAATATCGTGTACAGTTATTAAAGTATACGTTAGGACACTTATGAGCTACGGCAAAAATTTAACAGTTTGAAGACTTTTTTCATTAACAATTACTGGTGCTCGGACGTTGACAGAATTCTGTTTATTACTCACAATTATTTCGCCGTAATTAACGTCGAGTTGTGACCTAGAAGAAGTTATTGACACAAATCGGAAGAATCAATATTTAGAACATTGAGCCAAGTCATTAAAATTTAAAGCCAATAAAAATAAACAGTAATCCGTTTAATTAGACGACTCTAATTTTTAATCGCACATTCATCGACTTCATCGAACGAAAAATAACGAATACATTATCCTCATTGTTTATTAACTTTTGTTTTCTTCAATACGCACCCAATATTCCGTTCTGAAGCGTTTTGTTGTGTAAAATCATTGTATAAAATTGTTATTCGTTAACTTTAATTGATTTGTAACTATTCAACTTGTCATTTCTTTCATCACAATAAAACATCACGTACAAATATAAAACATTAGTTTAAATACAATTGTTTATCAAAAAGCATAAAGTACTGTGTATAGTATATACGGTATACTTTGAATCAATTGGCGTTCAGCAAGAATATTCCTTTCCTAGTGCCTTTCTCTCTACTCTAACTTTTCCATTAAAAGTATATAATATTGATAGCGAATGTTCATAGAATTGAATTAGAGCTTATCATACGTTGAAAATTGACACACATTAACGTATATTTAATTTAGTTATTCGTCAAAGAAAATGGCAATGCAATTTTCTGTTCTGTGCATTGAACGTTGTAATACGGAATTAATATTAATATTGAGGAAACACTGCCTTGTGTGCATCATTCAATCGATAATTATAATTCAAGGACAAATATATTGGATTTAGAGCCCCCAAGGAACCGGTCAAATCATCAATTACAACAATTTCACACGAACGATCACTTGATTTAATTGAAATAATTCATGTGCATTCTTAGTCAGTCTTCTTTGCCAATCACAAATTACAACCTGGTGCCACCCAATACTCAATAAAATCATTACCCCATTATTCATCTATAAATTACCGAATGCCAACGAATATTATAAACATTTCAACAAGAGTAAACGAAAAAAAATGGATAAATACGTACGAAAATAATTTGAATACCTACGAAACTAAATCACGACTCAGTCTTGATTAAAGCAACAAAAAGACAATCAGTCTAGTGAATTCTCAGCCCCAAATTATCACCGGTAATTCCCGATACAATAAACTAATTTAATATTACCATCGGCTTCTTCATTATCTCTTTGTCACGCGTTATTTAGCGTTTTAACGACGAAATGACGAGGCCAAATATTCACAGCAATAATAGAGTCTCTTGTCTGCAGATAAAAAATAATCATTAGACAATCGATGGTATTTAATCACCAAGTGAAATATTGACAAATCGAGGACGTTTAAATTTACATTACTCCTTTATCCATAACGCGTATTAATTAATTAGGCTAATTGAGCCCATGTTGACTGGAAGGAGGCGGTGATTCAGAGATCTTGGCATCAGGGGTTGACGATGCCGATGGAATTGGTGCAATCAGCATACCACGTGGACTGAATGTGTCACAGTAAAGATTTTCTTTCTTGTGAACTCTGCGTACGTGACTCCGTAAATTATCACGTCTTGCACTCCGATAAGCGCAATGAGGACAGAGATGTGGCTTCTCCCCGGTGTGCATTCGCCGATGCTGAATTAACTGAAAGCAATGACAATAAGAATTTTACCATGAAATAAAAAATCAACCACTCGTATACTTTTTTCAGTTGAACCGTGCGAAATACGCAGATGTCGCAGCAAAAATATCTGTCGTCTCGATGCCTTCGCATGTGTCGACTCAAATCAACTTCAGATGATCTGTCAGCTCCACATACAGCACAACTGACTCTAGTCTCTGGTGCAGAGCCTTTGGCATGAGCTCGGAGATGCCTCTGGAATGCTTTCTCAATTGTGCACGCGTATGTGCACATCGTGCACCTGTACTCTTCACGTTCATATCTAATTTTTGTTGGGATATCAATTAATTAGTTCTCATAATTCCCCTAGAAATTTTTATTCTGTCAACTTGATTTTTTGATTACCTATACCTGACGCGTTGTAGTGCCAGCGATCGTTTTTTCCCCGTGGACGTCGTCCCCTGGGCCATGTGATTAGCCACATGGGTCTCCATCTCGCACCTGTTAATTGTCGTGAAATTGCATCCAGGTGACGGACAGCTGCGAGGATCACCATCACTGGCCTCAGCATTGGATGGATGACTGTTGAGGATGTGCTTCCTCAGGGCAGGTCTCGTCGAGCTTATGACATCACAAGAGCCACAGGGATATCCTCTGCAGGTACCACCAACAGGACTCTCCCCTCTGGATCTAGATACCAATGGATTCAATCGAAATAATTTCATATTTGGAACAATCAGGTGGACTTTAACGAGCTTTTACTGGCAGACGAACCTCTCGGTGTAGGACGAGCTGTCGCTGTCGGAGTCACTATTATCGGACGGCATTCCTGGCACCTCAGTTGCTTCAAATGCAGCAGTTGCTGCTGACAATCTCCCCAGCATTGCAGTGTAGGCACTCAGTACCCATCCATTGAGAACCGATGGTGTTATTGTTTCGTCTTTATCCATACCAAAATATGCCATGGGATCCAGGGATTTTTCTGACGGTGAATTATTCCGCTGGGAACTTGTGGTTGTATTCGTATTTGTATCGCTTTCCTCGTCAGGGTCTTCGTTGTTGTTGTCGTTGGATTCCGTTGGCGGGGAGTTCTGTTAATGTTATTAAATAATAATAATATTTCATTGATTGATGATCGTGATGGGTGTCCTGGTCGTCATTACCTTGTAATCGTTATCCTCGTCCTCGTCATTTCTTTCGATGTTGCTTTCGTTGTCATCCGATTTTTTGATGGTATCGAGTGGTGTACTTGTTTCACTTCTTGCTTCATCGCTGTTGATACTGTGCGATGGATTGGTCAATTCTAGGGCCTTGTAGGCGGATGGATCCAGGGGATGATGCAACGAAAAACCTGCACGGGGAATAATCGGTGGTCCACTGGGTGGTACAAGTGACGCCGATCGTCGAACCAATCGTGGATCACCGCCCCATAATCCACTTGCAGCATGAAGACTCCAGATACCATATTCCATCTGCAAATCCATAAATACCGATCAAGGATTCAATTTATCCGGTGGTATCAGAAGTTCTTTGACATTTTTTATATTCTGTTCTGCAGATCGACGATCTGATACAATCGATATTCATTTTTCCAATCGATGGGATTACCCTCTCTTCCTGACGACACCTCTCGATCGTTACCACCGATTCATCATCATTCATCGGCAGCACCATCAGATTTTCAGTTAAGTCTACGAGAATAATTGCTTTCCATCCCCAAAAAAAAATCGACGAGATCGGTATCAAATAGACATAATAAACAATTGTAATCCCAACAAAAAATGCACCGACATGGAGTAGAGAATTGATCAAGTGAATTGGTCAAGTGAATTGATTAATTACAATAAAACAAACACATTTAATAATAATAAATAATTGAACCAGTGGGGTAAAGGAATAGTAAATAAAATCGTGAGATATGAATTGATTAATGACACGTAATAATTTCTCTGGAATTATAAATACTGCACTCCCGTGGTTTTGTACTTTGATTTGCTCTCGGTTAGTTTCATCCATTGGCATAACTCGTCCAGGCTCATATCTCTACATCTCTTTTCTATCTTTATCTCCGAACCACCCCCCCCATTTGTATGTAGGTGTAGAGGCCGTGTCCCAGCTCCCAGCAACCCTTGGTTGACCCCTTCCCCTCCCATTTTACCCTCGCGAATCGATTTGTTATTGTTTTTGTGTCTGCGGTGGGCTTGCATAGGGTGTATTACAGAGAACGGCGAGGAGGGAGTTGGCGCCTCCCGGAGAAATTGAATAAAGATGGAAAGGGGGAATGGTAGGGGGTGGATACAGGGTAACAGTAAAGGCGCCACCACTGGTGAACCACCCTCGGGGGGATTGGGGTGCAGGGGGTGGTAAGGATTCAGTCGGCTTGACAGGTGACAACCCATTGCACCACTGACGTCACGGATCACTTGGTCGCGTGTCATTCCACGCTATTCACTAATTGATCTTGATTTTAATCGATAATCAATCGTTGGAGCACATTTTGAAACGAATTTACTGGGGAAATTGTGGGGGGATGTCAATCTATGGTACGAAATACTAATTACTGGATATTTACGTGGTAACTCCAGCCTCGCGACGCCTCTATCTGGTTACCATTACACTCGGGGATGTATGAAATGCACCAACATACAACCGTACCCCCCACAATAGCCCTATTTATGATTGGGCAAAATTGCTTTCCATGCGCAGAATAAAATTGCGTGGCGGAAAAATCCTTTTCTATTTTATTTTTCATATTTTTTTCTACGATATTCCACGAATTTTTGGTCGGGCCTCCGGTATTTTGGGAATAGCCCGGGAATCGCTTTGGGATTTCTGGTGATTATTCATTCGTTTCGGCTTGTCGTTTTTCGGTTTATTGAAAAAAAGATGGAAAATTTAAGAAAAATTAAATATGGCGAAATGACGGGCATGCGCTTTTAAGGAATGGGGACCAGAGGGTGAGGACGGGGATGGAGTGCACTGGGGGCTGTGCATCTTTATATATATGATTTTCTTGTGGTATATGTTGAGGGACAATGGAAATGGCGGGTTTCGGTGAATTATGTCGTGTCGCTGGGAATTTATTGGCTTTGAAGAGTTTTTTTTATTGTTTTATGAGAAAATTTAATTTATTTTTGAACAAGTTGAGTGGAAATTAATTATTAAATCATTGGCTATGGGGAAGGTGTTAGAGTCGTCGAGAGGGACTTCAGCACTTCGATTTGAAGAGCCTCAACTGCATCCTCCAAACTGAAATTGAAGAATGATAAATAAATAAATAAGAATGAAAATTAGATTGAAATTTTTTCTACTCACTTTCCCATGTACTTCTGAAGATTTTCGTGAGTTTGGAGGAAATCCTTGAGGCCCTGACTTCCTGTATTCATTGTCTTTCCTTTATCTCCTATCATGGAATTCATGGAAACTAGGAATTCATTGCATCTCTCGAGAGTAGTCACTAATTTCTCCATTTGTTCCGCTGTTTTGGGAATTATTATATCCTTACATGTGAGAATGTCCAAGGATTTTAGGATTGATTGAATGTGGACAAGTGTTTCCACAGATTTTCCCTGATAAGTATCTGAAAAAGTCAGTACATAGTGCCATTTACCTCTCCATATATAATCCATAATTCAATCGCAAAAATAAATTGATCTTAATAATGAAATATCTCCGAAGTTAAAAGAGATAATTAGATTTTCATGAGAAGCTTTTTGGTGGAGTTCATTGAGACTCACAAAAAATTCTTGACAACAATTTCGGTATTTCCTTGAATTTCAGGGATATTTTCGAAAAATTAATTGCAGAAATTAATTGAATTCTTCAGTTTTCGAATTTTTAAATATGGAATTGTGGTACCGAGAAATACTGTTATTTCTTTTATCTGAGCGTCGGAGTTCTTTTGAATGTCATTTAATGTAGAAACATCGAGTTCTTTCATTCTAATCTCATGTAGCTTTCCACTGCACTGTTCCAGCTCCTTTGCCAATGCTGTCAGCTGCGTGACAATTTTTTTCTCCCTTTCCTCAATTTTCTTCTTGAGTATGTGCTCTTCTGCCAGTGTTTGAACATATTTATCATAAAGTAAACTCAATTCGTTGTTGTTGGCCTCTGATTCGTCTCGAAATCGTCTCGTACTATCCAAATGACCGATTGGCATCACCGACACTCTTGTTGTGTTCATGTTATTCATTGCTGATCCACGCCTCGTAATTGGCAGTCCTATTAATCATTAAAATCCCAATTACCTCTTCCCAAATAATTAATTCCCCAGTTTTTCCTCAGATATCTCCGGAACTTCGGGAGATTTCACAATTACTGTGAGAACATTTTTTGTAGAGCTAATTGAGACCTACAAAAAAGGTTCCACAGAAATTTTCGTATCTCCCGTAATTGCAGAGATATTTCGGAACAACCAAGTCCTCAATTATTTTTTTTCATCAGTTTGCTGATTCTTGGAAATTGAATTTATTGTTATAAATAAAAATACCGGGAACTGCAAAATCTGTTGGGGTTAATGTGGCACGACATCTGACTTGTCCACGATTTCGAGATCTTGCTGATGCATCTACTCTATCTGGAGTGCGAGTCCTTGTGCTGTTAACCAATAAAATAATTATTAACAAATTACCAAATGCATATGATCTCAATAATAATTACGTCTGAGCCCTTCTCATTGTTGGCGTTGTGGGTTTTTCCTTCTGCATTGTTAAAGTTGATAAATAAATTCATAAATTAATGAATTCACTGCCCTGAAATCATGCACTCCCGCCGATATTTTGAATCGATTATTTCTCAAGATAAAATCACTCATTCAATATGCAATATTTATAATCTCCCCCAGCGCTTTTATTTTGGCGTCGACCAGTAACAGTTTTATAAACAGAATATGACGGTTAGATCAGCTGATCACTTGCACTTCCACCGAAAAATCTAGTGGTCACTCTAACCTCAATTGTTCACTCTAAATCGTCTCAGTGTTTCCAATTTCCCACAATGGAAAAGGTGAGAAAATTAATTAACATTTCCATCCCCCAATTGCTCAATTCAAATAAATAATCAATTGTTTAAATCAGGAAAAAAGAGAAGTCCCTTCACTCTTGCGAAAAATCCTAGCCGTTGATGCATACGTCACAGACGAATTCGTTAAAAAATTGGAGACCATTTCCCTACTTCGACAGCTGAGAGTCCATTGCAAGTTGCTAGAGGTAATCCCGCAGTAATAAACTAAAAAACAATGAAAAATAATAAATATTTTCATAAAGTAGATATCAGCCCACGGAATTCCATGGCTCGCCGGTTCATTGGCATTGATATGGATTCTCAACAGCAAAAGTTTATATCAACTGCAGATCAATTTATTTATAGGTAAAATCCACAAAATAATTATCATCCCCGAAAGATTCTCCACTGATAATTGAATATTATCTAGGGCTGTTGGTGGATATATTTTTTATCGCCATTCTGAAAGCTGTGACGAGAAGACGAAGACCAGTGAAGACCGACGATCCATTTGCAATGGGACCAGATAAATATTCATTTCCATCCGGTCACGCATCCAGATCGACATTTATCACTTATTTTTTTATTAATCTCTCACCACTCCCTCTGATATTCATCCCTCCCCTATTTGCCTGGACGATATCAGTCTGTCTCTCCAGATTATTAATGAGAAGACATCACATTCTCGATATAACAGCAGGTGTTGCTCTGGGATTGTTAAATGGTTTATTGATAGGCATGATGTACCTGGATGCTGATACCTGTCTGGGTCTAGTCTCTTGGTTGACCGACGAAAAGCTCGACGGAGGAGAGTATCACGTGTAATTCCCTCCTTCATCATCTTCAATATATTTTTTAACGAATGACAACTCAGTCGTATTTTCAATCCCTCATCCTCAAAAAATAATACTCTTCAGACATTACACAAGCCTTTATTCTGTAAAATATCATATCAAGAAAAGTACTTAATTGTTACAGCATTCAATATTATCTCGGAATTTAATAATTCACTGGACGCGTAATAGTATTTTATTCTATTCCAATGATTGAAAAATTTATCATGCATTTTAAATTTTGATCTTGATTATGATTCTGCTCTAAGTGACTTAAACATAATTTAATAATAGTATTCTAATTATTTCCAAATGCGAGTCGAAGGTGATGGCGATTTAAGTGATCCCTATAATTGATAATATCTTATCAATTGATTTCTACATTGCCCCACGTCACATGATTGAATTAAACAAATTAAAATGACTAAATACGAGAGAAATGTCTAATTAATGAGATCAGCTGATGCAGTTGTCAATGAGGAATTTGAATTGATAATTAAATTCGCTTTATGCTCGGCGATTGAATGAGCGATTAAAACTCTACCACAAAGGGGAGTGATAGAATTTGAGGTCTAGGTGTCCTGATTGATTCCCACCAACTTCCTGAGCACAAGAAGGTGATGCCTTGACACTGGAGGCTGGTCTCTCCTCGGCGTGGATTTGAATTTTTTTCTCAATCTCCTTGGGAGTGGATTCAGGCCTCGGCGATGGTTCAGGCTCAGGCTCAGGCTCCGGCTGAGGCTCCGGCTCGATTGAACGCGATGAAGGTCTTATCTCCACAAAAGGTATTGGAATCGCCTGTACCTCTGGTGCAGGAGTCGTTGCATTGGACTCCTGGGGACGAACCCTGTGCTCATCCTCAGAGTAAAGACTCAAAGACCGAGGACGCTCCACTTTCGCACCAGGAGTCGACGGGATTTCACTACAAAAATTTATCCACCTCACAGAAAATCCACCACGTGTTACCACGTGTTTTATTTCACGTAGAATTGAACAGGAAAGCGAGTGAGAGGGAAATAAAAAAATAAAACGAAAAATTACACTTAAAACAGTTGCATTTAATGAATAAATTGATAAAAAAAAACGCACATTCAGGTGAAGATATAAAAATAATTGACATTGAGAAAATAAATAAATTGTACGTAAAATCGACTTTTAGAAACAAATAAATATATTAGACTTAAAATAATAATTGATTTGTCTAACTAATTAGTGAAGAAATAATCACATGCCTGCTGGGATCACTAAGGAATGCCCAGTGAACGAATTACAAATATAGCTGGATTTATTCTTAGTGTGTGGTTGGGTGAAATTAGACAGATACATTGCTCGTGGTATGTATATATCTGTGTATATAAATGAATGACGAGTACGAGTAGATGATGCGTAATGTGCAACTGGATAAAAAAAACTTTGCGTCACGTGCGCTTGTATTTTTCTCTCTAATTTCTCCTAATTCACTACTCACCCGCTCCTTTCTGTTGTCTGGCCAAAAACTGGGGCATTATGAATTATCTGGAAGGAGATGTTTGTTATTAAAATAGGTGTATTATTTTTTTCAACAATTTCTACAGAATTCCAAGACGAGGACGTGCGATAAAATCATTGATACATTGATAAATTTATTTTTGTTATTAAAATATTATTTATCGTACGTTGGCCATGGAACATTGGGGCCTAGCAGCTGCATAACGCCCATAGGAGCTCCTCGGAGCTGCGGAATGGGGAGTCGTATGTCCATTGATGCTGCAAAAATAATTTTTCGTTGTGAGTGAATTTTCTGATTTATATGATCGCTCTATTTATTTATTTCGGGTTCAATTGATTTTGATTCTTGTGGACAGAAGGCATTGATTACCTAGCAGATTGGGGTTTTCGGATGTCATTGTTGTATACTGAGCCGTCAACAGATCCTCGAGATTGTAAACTGTATCGATTGCCCCGGGGATCTTGAAATTCTGAAAGATAAATTGAGGAAATTAAAAAAGAAAATATTCAGGGAAACTATGAAATTTTAGGCGTAGGTAAATATTCCAGGTCAATCGACTATTTCATTTAAAATTAGTGGTTTTACACGGGTATAGGCTCTGACCCCGACCGAATAAATGAAAGGCGTTGAACATTTATGATGGCATTGACCGAATTCAATCCTCTGATCGTGGATAAGATGTGAGAATGGATTACCATCGTCGAAGAATCCCTGGAACACGACGAATTTATTGTTCTGGGGTATGATCTTCTCGAGTTCATAATGTTTATGCAGAAATTGTAAAAATTTCTCGGATGGACGATCGATCGCCAGTTTCACAGGCCTCATCCGCTCTTCCTGAAGAATAAAATCAATATAAAACAAGAAATTACAAGTCATTCACTCTGAACTCACCATCAGCATGTGCTGATACAGAACTTTTCCCAGTCCCATACGCTGCCTTGTCTCATGGATATAAAAATCGAGAATGCATCTTGGTTGCAACTGGAAATGGACTCCAACGTCATCGAACATGAAGAGATTCTTGGAGCCAGTCTTCAAGAGGCCGACGACACATCCCAGACCCCTGGAGGTAATAAATTCTTTTCATCTGGATTGATTGATTCATCATTATTATCAATTACCCGTTGCCCTCGCCGTCCACCAGGAGGTAGACAATGTGATCAGTGTCTCGTAATTTCACAGCACTCGTTATCGGCTTGGTGAGACCCTGGGCTCGTGCTGATGCCTCACCCATTTCATCCAGGATCCTGGATAACTGCCTCTGGTATTCACTTTCAAAATTACATCATTAAACGAGGAATTCACCCATTGTTCTGTGGGAATTGAATGCAAAAGAAAAATGTGTCGAGTCTCTGAAAAACTCGGTGCATAATTCTACATCAGGCAATCCTTTTCTACAGACTATTTTTTTTTTAAATTACACGATAAATTGTTTTTAGTCCAAAAATTGACGAATAAAATAAATAAATAATTCGATAGATGAGAGGATAAAGGGGATAATTCGAGTGAAATATATTTTGAATGAATAAAAAATGAGTAAAAGGACGGGGAATCACCACAGGATGTGGCCTCAAGTAATAATGAAGAAGCGATGGGTAATTAGCGTAGACACCGTTAGTTAACAATGGAATGAATCATCATGATATTTTCGAGCAAACGGAGCATGATCGTGGAAAGTTTCAATTGTGGTCTTTCACATGCGGGTTACAGTTAGAAAATAACAATGTATTAGTGTTGCTTTCACAGGCTGTATTGGCTTTCCTCAGAATAAATGATAATTCTGTAATCACAGTGATTGCCTCGATATATCGTGTACGCAAGTTACGTAAGTCAGGGTCAATTGAGGGCACGAATTAACACGCGTTGATAATTTATTGAAGTGGTATTCCCCTTTTTGGTGATTTAGGGAGTGATTAGGGGCTCGCGTTTTTGTGGGTTTTATTTAAATTCAGGCTTTCTGCTGGAAAAATTGGGCCGATCGATGGAAAACGACCATTAGGGGAATCTATAGACTGTTGATTCATTTTACCTACTTTATACGCCGCATGATTCATTCTCACATCAATTATTCAAACCGGGGAACTTTGGTAATTACTTTTTTGTGATGGATTGTTCTTCAATTGTGGAACAGAAAAAGGTAGAGGATAAAGTACAGGTAGAAAGTATGCGATGGTTGTGAAAGGTAGAGGATGTCTTGATTTTTATCGACACTCGAGAATATTCTGGAATTAAACAGAATTTACAGAGAAATTGTTATAAAAATATTACAAATTTATTTCACAATTCCCTAAAGTTTCCTGATTTTTTAATAATCACGGGATGGAAAAATCCAGCGTTTCATTGATTTTCTGATTATTGAAAATCGAGAGGAAAATTTTTATCAGCTCTCATATTTTTTCGGGGGAAAGTGAAAATGTTGATGAACCTGATGGAAAGGAAATGGTGCGCAGAACTCTCGTCTCACCTCCGCCCAAATTTTCAGATATGACGAAAAAAATCAGGTGCATCCATTTTAAAATAATGAATATTGATAACAAAGATTAATTGATTAATCTGCACTGGGGAGACGAGGGGATGCTGTTTAAATCTGGATGTCGGATGCTGTGAGAAAAGATTAAAATAAGACTCGGTGAAAGGACGGTGTACACGCAATCCGTACAGATTCCAATTGAATCGCGTAACCTTGATGATTATTTAAGTGAATTATTCCAATAACTTACTTTAATTCTCGTCGATCACCCCTGAAGTCCTCGGGTATCAAACTCTGTGTGACCTTGTTTATTTTTCTCGGTAAAAGTCTGTTCACATTGAACTTAAAATCCATCTTGCTGAGATATTCCTCTTATGGTTTTTTCCCTTCCACCACAAGGTGAGTAACCAATTGCACGTGTCACACTCGTTTATTTATACTTATTATATTTTCTCCGCTCAACGAAACAAATAAATCAATGAAATTTCATGATTTGACATTAACGAAAGATTTCAATGATCTGACACTTGACGTATGGTGTGTTTATTGATTTTTGGCTATGACGACTGCTGATATGTTATTGACAGTTAAAATCAGGGAAGTGGTTTTTGGTTGTTCAACTTCAGGATCTGTCTAGAGACTGCGTAGTATGGGTTAAAAATCGGGTGGAGGCATTATGATTTGCGATTGCGCGAGAATTGTCGCTTGTCGTGGATATGTTGAGGATTAAATGAAACACGGGAATATTTATCCGTTAATATTTGAGTACACGGCGACTGTCGATCGCGCACTAAAAGCACTTGCTCCGATATTTCAGTTTTCTCGAAGGTCGCGCGCCGTCAGAGCGCATGCGTACAACAATTCATTTTTTTTTCTCGTTTTTTTAGTCTTTATTGATAAACCACATGGGCTCGATAAGTGAGGGACTTTCTAATCAGCTGACGGCAAGAGTCGACGATTCAATCATTGAAAAATTTCGATTTAAAAAAAATTCTTTTTCCCTCTCCCCAAACTGGAGGTGAAAAAAAAATTATTTTAATTAATATAATAATAATAATCATTATATTTAAAAAAGAAGAATTGTGGAATTTCTCACAATAAAAAGTCTTTATGTAATTATTTTTAGGGAATTTATTAAAGGGAAAGAACCGGAGGTATAGTTGAATTTTCAAAATTCAGTATTGAGGCTTTCTTCACTCGGAAATCGACTGTTTACGTTCGAACAATGAGTCCGTATTCACCGCTGCCTTATCGATGTTTATTTTGATTTTCGTATTGAATACAGTCGAGCGCCATCATGTGACTCTGTTCAGCAGTGAAAATGTTTTGTGTACATTTGGCGCTCCGAATTGCTTGAATGAATAGTGACTTCAGGGGAGGAATTCTGCGCGTTTTATGTTAACATGAAATCTCATTATTTCGCTCCCGTCAGGTGGAGCGCAGGCTTTATTTATGTCACATTTCAATCGGTTTTGGAACGTTTGTTTGGTGCGTAATAAGGGGAGGGATGAGAAATACAGTATGGCCGCCGTGCGTTCAACTTAGTGCTCCAAAAT